CAGAAGACTTAGAAAATCCATGTACTTTGACTATCTGTAGCTTACTATCTGTGATTTCCTGTTATTAGGTTTCTACATATCATCCCTTGTCTGATGTTTTTAACTTTCTGTTGGCTATTGTATTAATATCTTTGATAATTTTCCTTTCTGCTTCTTTCAGCCATTTTAACAGTGTCCTATACTTTTCTTTGACTATGCAAAGGCATTTGATTGTGTGGATCATGACAAATTATGGATAACATTGAGAAGAATGGGAATCCCTGAGCACTTGATTGTACTCATGAGGAATCTGTACCTTGATCAGGAGGCTGTCGTTCGAACAGAACAAGGGGACACTACATGGTTTAAAATCAAGAAGGGAGTATGTCAGGGTTGTATTCTTTCTCCACACTTATTCAATCTATATGCTGAGCAAATAATCCGAGAAGCTGGACTATATGAAGAAAAACGTGGTATCAGGATTGGAGGAAGAATCATTAACAACCTGAGATATGCAGACGATACAACTTTGCTTGCTGAAAGTGAGGATGACTTAAGGCACCTACTGATGAAGGTTGAAGAATACAGTCTGCAGTATGGATTACATCTCAACATAAAGAAAACAAAAATCCTCACAACTGGACCAATGAGCAGCATCACAATCAATGGAGAGAAGATTGAGGTTGTCAAGGAATTTACATTGCTTGGTTCTACAATTGATGCCAATGGAAGCAGCAGTCAGGACATTAGACGACGTGTAGCATTGGGGAAGTCAACTGCGAAGGAACTGTTTCAAGTGCTGAGGAGCAAGGATATCTCCTTGAGGACTAAGGTGCGCCTGACACAAGCCATGATATTTCCAATCGCCTTGTATGCATGTGAGAGCTGGACAATGAATAGGGAAGACCGAAGAAGAGTTGATGCTTTTGAGTTGTGGTGCTGGCGAAGAATGCTGAAAGTACCATGGACTGCTAAAAGAACTAACAGATCTGTCCTGGAGGAAGTGCAGCCAGAATGCTTCTTGGAAGCAAGAATGGCCAGACTTCGTCTCACCTATTTTGGTCATGTTGTAAGAAGGGACCATTCCCTGGAGAAGGATGTCATGCTTGGTAGGGTGGAGGGTCGACGAAAGAGGGGGAGGCCTTCAAGGAGATGGATTGATACAGTGGCTGCGATGATGGGCTCAAGTATAGCATGGATTGTGGGGCTGGTGCGGGATCGGGCAGTGTTTCGTTCTGCTGTGCATGGGGTCGCTATGAGTCGGAAACGACTCGACGGCACTTAACAACAACAACAACATACTTTTCTTCCTTTCCTGAAGATGGCTTAAAAATTCTATTTACTTTTTTAAAAAATCTTCAGTATTGAGCCTCCTTCCTCTCTCGTTTGGATGCCCATGGACAGACTGTGGAGATTCGGTAACAGCTGATGAAACAGTAACGGCAGGGTGCAATTCAACTTTTCACACTTTATTTATTTATTTATTTATGTTGTGATTTGGGTGCAAGTTTACAGAGCAAATTCATTTTCCATTCAACAGTTCATACACATTTTGTTTCATGACACTGATTGCAATCCCCATAATGTAACAGCTCTCTTCCCACTTCCTCCTTACGTTTACCTTTTCCCTATGTCCTTTTTCTTATGCTTTCCTGCCCTCTGAGCTCTCTCCCTGTGCAAATACTGCCCTTCTGATCTCCGATGATTGATTGTTCTAAGGAATGTAGCTACTTAGTGTTAATGTTCACCTTGTATGTTTCTCTGTTGTTTGGCTAGAAGCCACAGGAGTAAATTCAATTCCAGGTCCAAAGGCTGACTAGGGCCCATAGTCTCAGGGGTTTCACCAGTCTCTATCAGACCAGCAAGGCTGGTCTTTTGTTTGTTTATGATTTTGAGTTTTGTTCTGCATTTTTCTCCCATTCTATCCAGGATCTCCTGCACTGATCCCTTTCCAAGTGTTTGATGGTTGTAGCCAGGCACCATCTAGTTCATCTGGTCTCAGGGTCTTATCAGCTGAGGTCCACATGGCCCACTAGTCCCTTGGACTAATTGCTTCCATGCCTCTTTTATTTTCTTCATTTTTCTTTGCTCCATATGAGGAGACATTAATTGTTGCATGCAGATGGCCACTTGCAAGCTTTTAAGGCTCAGTCACTACTCACCAAAGTAGGATGTGGAACAATGTTTTTGTGCAGTATGTTATGCCAATTGAACTTGATGTCCCCTGCGACCATGGTCTGAGCTCATAGGCCCAACAATTTGCTCCCTCAGAGGGGTTGGCCGTGGCTAAGAAGTTATCATAACTTTGCCCTCTGATCTGTTTATATGGACATTCTTATAGCACATACACTTTTTTTTTTTTTAAGATTTTGAGTTTTGTTCCACAATTTTCTCCTACTCTATTCAGGATCTCCTATTTTGATCCCATTCCAAGTGGTTGACAGTGGCACCTTCTAGTTCTTCTGGTCTCAGGGTCATGTGGTTCACTGGTCTTTTGGACTAATTATTTCCACGTGTCTTTGATTTTCATCACTCTTATTTGCTCAGGATAAGAGACCAGTAGTTGCATCTTGGATGGCTGCTTGCAAGCTTCCAAGACCCCAGTCACTACTCACCAAAGCAGGATGTAGAACAGTGATTTTGGGTAGTATGTTATGCCAATTGAGCTGATGTCCCCTGCAACTATGGTCCAGAGCCCCCAGGCCCAGGCACTCACTCCTTCAAGGTGTTTGGCTTTTTTCACGTTTCTCCAAATATAATTTATTGCAAGTTTTTCTTTAGACCCAGAGATAATGGGAAATAAGTTCAAAGTTGTTGAGGACACTGATTTTTCTTCCCAGATTCAACCAATGTGTTTTCTATTTTTACACTTTATTTGTGTCTTATTTGCCATTGTAATTTGGTAACTCATTGGGCAGGAAATAATTGTTGATCTTTCCATTTGGAATGGCCCCAAAATTTATTAACTCATTGCCATTGAGTTGATTCCAACACATAGTGGCCCAACAGGACAGAGTAGCACTGCCCCCCATGGGACTTCCAAGGCTGTCAACCTTACAGAAGCAGACTACCATATCTTTCTCCTGTAGAGTAGCTGGTGGGCTCAAATCACCAACTTTTGATTAGTAGATGAATGTTTACTCACTACATCCTCAGGCTCTTTGAGTAGCCTGAGCACATGATTATTAATGATTGTTGTTGTTACTGCTGTTGAGTTAGTTCTGACTCATAGCCGTTCTATGTACAACAGAAGGAAATACTCCTGGGTTCTGCATAACCCTCATAATCACTGCTATGTTTAAGCCTATTGTTGCAGACACTGTGTCAATCTATCTCTTTGAGAGTCTTTCTCTTTTTCGTTGATCCTCCATTTCACCAAGCATGATGTGCTTCTTCAGTGACTCCCAATTTTCCTGGATTCATACTTTGTACATTCCATGTTCCAATTATTAATGAGTGTTTGCAGCTGTTTCTTCTCAGTTTGAGTCATGCCAAATAAGCAAATGAATGTCCTGAAATCATTACTCCATCCATGTCACTAAGGTCATATCCACTTTGAGAGGGCAGCTCTTCACCAGTTGTATTTTGAGTGCATTTCAACCTGGATGGCACTTACCTTCTGGCACTATATCAAGCAATGTTCCACTGCCATTTGTAGTGTTTGCACTGGCCAATTTTTTTTTTTTTTTATAGTAGATCACCAGGTGCTTCTTCCTAGTCTCTTAATCTGGAAGCGCTGCTGAAACCTGTCCATTATGTGTGACCCTGCTGGTATTTGAAATACTGGTGGCATAGCTTCAGCATCACAGCAATTGGCAAGCCATCAGAGTATCATAAACTAACAGATGAGTACTACTCTCATGTTTTAAATGGTAGCATGTTTTAAATGTCCTTAATTTAAAAATGAGCAACGTTAAATATTTGAACTTTTCACTTTTAATTTTCTTCATTGTTGGCTTGTAAGTTTTACTCTTGAATACTCTTATTAGGTGGTTCCCGTGCAAAAATGGAGTCAGCCCTGTAATAATTAATTTACAATTATTAGTAGAAAACACAGGAGCTCTGGTAGCATAGTGCCTAAGGCACTTGACTGCTCACCAGAAGGCTGGTGGTTCAAACCCACCAGCCACTCCTCCGAAGGAAGGTTGGGCAATTCTACTTCCGTAGTGATACTGCTTCGGAAACCCAAGGAGGGGTCGCTATGAGTTGGGGCCGACTGGATTGCAAACAACAACAACAAGTAGAAAACACAGTATTTAGGCACCAGGAGCTAGATAATCGTATCTCCTGTTTCAGTGTAGTGGTTATGAGCGTGACTTTGAATCCTGGTTCTGTTACCTTTTTGTTTTGTCACCTTGGACAAGTTTCTGACCCTTGCTTCTCCCACGTGAAAATTGGGGATATTATTATCCTACCTTTCAGGGGTTTTGTGAAGACTAAGCGAAATAATTTATATTAAATGTTTGACTGCCAAGTGCTCAATAAATGGTAACTATAATTGGGTTTGAAAAGTCTGCTCGTTTTCTTAGAAAACAACTTTATTATGGTAGCTGTATGCCATGGACAGGTCATTTCACACGGGCAGGATGGGAAGGGGCACTCTTAGGATGCTTCATGTTCCTGGCAAAAGGCCTTATCAGCCAAGTGTGTAAAGAGAGAATTGGCTGCCGCGGCCAATGTGGCTGAGAATACGAGGGTCACTGCGCTTTGTGCGCACAAGAGTTGAAACAAAAGAGGGCCCCAGCTCTCGGAGGTGTCTTCCTCGCTACAAGATGCAAGCGCACAGTTGGTCGGAAATTCTTGAGGGTGGGCTTTCAGCTGGCGGCCCAGCCTCCACGGTGTGGTGGGAGTGGGAGAGGTTTCCGGCAGCCGCACGTCACATCACGAAGCAGCTCCTCCTCCCCTCTCTTAGATCGCACGCGCGGAAGTAAACACCCAACGTCATCAGGGAGCGTCTTCGCCTTTCCCCTCCCATCTCCCCAGATCGGTGGACGTGCTCACCTCTGCTCTGGGCCAGGTCTATGTCCCGGTTTCCTGCCGTCGCGGGCAGGGCGCCAAGGCGGCAGGAGGAGGGTGAGCGGTCAAGAGATCTCCAGGAAGAGCGGCCCTCGGCTGTTTCCATCGCTGATAGAGGTGCGGTCCGCAGGAGGCTATGGATGCCAGTGGGAGTTACGGCATGGAGGTTTTGGGGGATAAAAGTCTGCCTTTGGCTGGCAGAGAAGAGCTGGGAGGAGGACGTAGCACTGTTCTTGCCTTCCAAGCCTGAGGCGAACTTTGCATCCAATGAGCACTTCAGCTTAGAGGGAGGCGGTCCCAGACCCAAGTTGGGTGAAAACCCTGCTAGTGGGGGCAAAAAAAGTGAACCCCAACGCCTAGATACGTTGTGTTCTTAAACAGGCTCATAAAGCCTTTGTTCTCTACCCACTCACCGCACTCCCCCCTCGTCGGGCCGCCAGCCTGCCTTTGGGTACGGTATGAAGGGAGCCAGTTTCCAGGAGCCAGTTTCCATGGTTACCTACCACTTGGCCTTCTGGGATATCAGTCACTCTGAACAGGGACCTAACTTGAACCATGAATCAGAAGCAAACACAGGTGGCTTCTATTTCAGCCGAGAGTTTTCTGCTGATTCTGTTCTAGTTTTTGGTTTATTTTATAAAACTGTGGATTTTGTATTTCTGTGTAAGTATGTATGTATATGTGTTGCATCGTGTGAGGCCTACATTATCAAGTAGTCTTAAGTCATGAGTTAAGAAATGTTCAAGTTGTTAGAATTTCACCGGAAAGTTGCTCTGACCTTATAAAACGCACTTAATTGGACATACATCATTTAAATGAGAAGTTATGGATTGATTCCTTCTGTTCTTAACATTTTATTGTTTTTCTCTTTAAAATTCTGGGACATTGAGTCAGATATATCTTTACAGTCTTTTACTTGCATAATTGTTTTTCTGTTATCACAGAAGAGAAAGGATGCACATCACAGGAAGGAGGAACTACTCCAACTTTTCCTATTCAGAAACAAAGAAAAAAGCTTATTCAGGCTGTGAGGGACAATTCATTCCTTATTGTTACTGGAAATACAGGAAGTGGTAAAACAACTCAACTCCCAAAATATCTGTATGAAGCAGGTAATTTATTCTGGGATGATACTGATAGTACTTTTTGGAAAAGACTGATAGGACTTCTGTACTGCACAAACAGCAAAGCATCTTTAATTACATTCATGGAAGTAGTATGTGAGAAATAAATGATATTAGATTTCTAAAAATTAGCTTAGGATCCGGTGCTGTCATCATACTTTTCTTGTCACAGTGATTTTCTTGGCATACCCTCCCTGTGTCTATCTTCCTTTAGGGTTTTATTTCAGATTCAAGCATTAGTTGAGATGGCAAAATTTATCTTGAGTAGACTGTGAACCATTGGGTATTGAAATGCCACTGAGGATAAAAGGGATACATTGATGTCCGTTGCTGACATTAGTATTTCTTGGTTTCTTCTCCAGAGCATTATCAGATAAATGTTTATTCCCTGACTGCTAGAACCAAGCTGTTTATAAGCCTTTTCCTTCACTTTAGGAAAACTTTCTATCCTCAGACTGCTAAAGAACAAAATTATATTCTGTATGATTCATATAAAAAATTTTTTTTAACTTATGTTAACTTGTCCTAGTATATTGAATCTAAATGCCATCTGTTAAGATACACTGCTATTTTATATACCATCAAGAAAGAAAAATGCCATGAATTATAACTTTCAACTCTATTTTGTTGTTGTTGTTGTTATGTGCTATCGAGTCAGACCTGACTCATAGTGGCCCCTCCTTGGGTTTCTGAGGCAGTATCACTCTAGAAGTAGATTGCCCAACCTTCCTTCCGAGGAGTGGCTGGTAGGTTTGAACCGCCAGCCTTCTAGTTAGCAGTCAAATGCCTTAGGCACTACGCTACCAGAGCTCCTAACTCTATTTTAGGGGTATTAAAAAGAGTAAAAAAAAAAAAGGCTTGTAGAATCTATGGAAGATAGTATTTTTAAATCTAATGTCACTGTGTGACAAAGATAAATTTATTTTAGGAAATGTTTGGAATTTTATGGATTCTTAGAGATTATAAATTGCTGACTTGCTCTCAACTGGAATTACAGGCAAACCAAAAATCCAAACCTATTTAAAAATTTTGTTTTGTTCTGTTGTAGAAAGGGTCTCTGTGAGTTGCAGTTGACTTGATGGCACCTATCAGCAACAGTTAAAATACACACTTTTAAGTGGTTATCAATATTTATTATTTTTAACTAACACCTAAATTTTCAGGGTATAAATATAATCCAACGTGCTATTAATTTGCAGGATTTTATTTTTTATTTTTATTTATCTATTTTTAAATTTTATTTTATTTATTGTGATTT